TGCCGCGGCGCGTTGGGCGCTCTCCGTGTCGCGGCCGTTAAGCGCCCATGGAAGATGCTGAGGCCAGTAGGTCCGTTTTGCCCGTCTAAACTCCGTGTGACGGCTTTAAAGAGCAGTCGTAGCTGGCTGCTGTTTTGTCCGTGCGCTGGGGAAACACAGCTCGTGTGTGGAGCGCGCTGTGAGGCATTTTGCTGTGTTGCGTTTTAGCTTTGTAACTGATACATTTAAAAATCTTTCAGGCGCAGTTCTGATTTGAGAAAAGTAGCATTTTTATCTTGTAACTGTTCATTACTACGTAATGTCTTAGCAAGTAATCAGTTGTGAAGAAGGGAGGAGCAGGGTATTTTGCAGACTGTGTTGTAATCCACACATAGACAGTAATTATAAATGTCTAAATATTCTTTAAAATATCTCTTCCTGATTTGAGAAGAAAAGCAGTAATTTCACACACAAACAAAAGACGCCCGAAACGTTTCAAATATGTATATAGATTTGTTAGAATGAAGTGGCTTACTGTGATTCCAAGGTGTTATGCATTACATAGGGAGGTGTATGAATATATATATACACCAATATTACAGCCTCAACAGAAATCCTTGGGTATTTTAACATATGAAGATTAAGTAGATTAGTGGGTTTTTTGTTTGTTTATTTTTTCTTGCAAAAAAATTTGGAAGTTCTTTTCTTAGCTCTCCTTAATGTGCCCATCAAACCTAGTTGTTGGGCAGATGGCTAAAGCTGCACGGGAGAAGACAAACTGATTTGTAAAGATTTTTTTCTAGCTGAGATAAATTGTTCCTATGTGAAAGGAGCTTTTGAAATTCAGTTTATTTCTATTTGATTCTGTTTCTGTACCATTCTGTGCTGAGGAAAAAGTATTAAAAGCAGTAGGACTTTACTCAAAAGGGTTGTTGGCCTGAGGGAAGGTGAACATTCTGACAAGTTCCTAGATTTTTACCTTCTTTGGCTAATGAAGATTAGAATACTACTTTGACCAATATGCGAGCTTTTTTATGACTTGGCATATTTTATAAATGTAACTCCTAGTATAGAGAAGCCCGTAAATGGAAATGCAGTCATACTTGGATTTTCTTATTTTTTTTTCTTGTTGTCCTCCTGAGGTTTGGTTACAATTTTTTTAAAAATGAAGTTTTAAATATAAAACTAATTAATACAGGTAGCTGTCACAAATTAACTTATCTGTCACAAATCTAAGTATGTAATTTCTCTTAATCCTTTTTCTTTCAAAGGCCAGACACAGAAACCAGCCAAAGTCCTCAGTACAGCTTTGAATCCTTACCCCAGAAGATTTGCCTCATCTGCGGTGATGAGGCGTCTGGTTGCCACTACGGAGTACTTACCTGTGGAAGTTGTAAAGTCTTCTTTAAAAGGGCAATGGAAGGTACTATATGATACCATTGTTCCTAGTTACTTGAAATACTTCTTTATAGGCATTGCAAAGAACATAACTTCTAGCAATTGCTGAAACAGATCTTTATTGGTGTAGTTAGGGCTTTCTGTATTTGCTGTTTTGGCAACTCTATTTAAAGCATTGCAGTGAATACTAAATTCTTTCCTGACTGATTTTAATAGCATTTTTTTTTTTTACTTTTATTAGTTGCCATTTATCACTTACTCTTTCTGAGTAGGCAGAAGTTCATAACAATCTTTCATATTGCCCAATTTAATTTAAAAAGTTTGAGTGATAATCAAATAAAATGTTCATTCTGTTTTTTAAGTCCTGAGGCATTTTTCTTGCTTGCAAAGTGAAGAATCTGGCCTCCTGAGTTTTATGGAAGAATTTCATGTTTTACTGAACTATTTAAGTAATAATAATAAATAATATTTCAATACATAAAATTTAAGTAATAATAAATGGGTTTTACTTTTGTTCCAGCTAACCATTAATTAAATAAGGCAAGCTGCAGGTTTAATAAGACAACAGTAAGATTACTTATAATTATTTTTTCATTTTTAGTTATATTATGTGACTTGAGGTCATTGTCAATCTATGCCTGCTGAGGTTATGTAAATCTTGTACAAATACAAGAACCGATTTCTAAAGTTTAGCCAGTATATAACAACTGTGCCTACATCTTATGCTGTGTCTCCTTTTCTGTGGCTATAATCTAACCCATTAGAACTAGGATATTAAGGTTTCTTTTCCATATACTTATCAAAATTGTTATTACAGTGTATAGATTTCCTCAAAATAATAAAAAAAATCCTTCCTAAGTTTTCTTGTTATGATATAGAGCTTATTGAACGTTATAGACTTAATTTACCTTCCAATGAAGAGGCATATGAATACTGAGAAATTAAGAGTTTAGGGAAATAACGTTGTTTAGATTTTGTTGTTGTTGTTTTAGGATGCTGTTATTTTCTAGCTTAAGCATACATGCACATTTGTCTTTATATTTCCAGTATAAGGACACTAGACTATGTGGACTTTGGAGTTACTGCAGCATTTTTTTTTCTTCAATACATTTATGAGGGGTATAAGAAACAGTCACTAAAACATGTATATTAGGTGGTTTTGCTTCACATACTTCACTTTTTTTTTTTTTTTTTTCCCTTTTGGAGAATCAGCCATATACTTAAAAATGCAAAGCAAGGAAATGAAGTTTTAAGAATGTGCATAATTAATGAATGCTATATTTTTAAAAAGTTTATTTATTCACTTTTCAACTCTACAGTTATATATATATATATATTTCTTTTCTATTTATATTTGATTTCCATTCAAATTTAATCTCTTTCCTAAGTCAGTTTCACTACTTGTACAGAAGGTGAGCCTGCTCAAAAATGCATTTTGTTAATGTTCAACATAAGTATCTTATTGATAAATATTAAGAAGATATAAATTGGTAGTAGAAGCATCTTAATCAAAGTTTGTTTTTGCTAGTTATTTACAGGAAGTGTGTATTTGTAGAATTTTACAGGATCTAGAATATACACATAAAGTGAAAGAAGAGGTCAGCATTTACTCAAAATACATATGCTTTACATAGCATCTTCATATTCACCATTTTTAAGTGATTGCAAAGAGTGAGAATATTGTGAGAAAAGGCATTGATTTCTTTATTAAAAATATTCGAAGAATGGACAATACCTCAGAACGGGGACTAAAGCAATGAAAAGTATAGCCCATGAATCTTAAGGGAAAGCTTGACAGAAAAAAGCAGCATGACCAAGCCTTTCAGATACATAGTTATTCATAGGTACGTGGCTTTTTCTAGAAGGTGTAAGTCTATGGAGAATTCTAAAAAAGTCAGACTTCCCATTTTAACTGAAGCATAGGATATGATAGTTAGCATTGAAATAATCTCATTTATGGATAAATGCCTTGTTTCCCTCTAGTTTAGGTGTTCTTCACTTTTAGCTTGATATCAGAAGTAAGGGTGATAGAATACTCTCTGGGGGAAAAAAAGAGGATTTTTATTGCAAATCCAGTAGAAAATGGTATTTGAAAGTTTACAATAGTAATTGTGTAATTTGAGCATATTTTTAATGAAAAATATCTCCATGCCTATCATTTCTTGAAGTGAGAATGTATTATTTAACCTTAATGTTTAGGTAGTACTATTACAGACATAGATATTTTGTTTTTAAAAATAATAGTTCTTGTAAATAAGACCTTAAACTTTGTGATGCAAATTCATAGTCATGATTCCACTTTAGATTTACTTTGCATAAGAACTTATTACAAGAAATAATATTAAAATCAGAACTAGAAATTTGCTACTTTTTGGATTTTCTCTATTTAGATGACTTTCATATATTATGAAGCTTTCAAAAGCATAATATAGAGGGACAAAACATAGTGCCATATCATTTGTTGAGAAATGTCTATTTTAAAAAATCTATTTAGTCTCAAATATGCTTGCTGTTTCCAGCCTTTGTCATCTTCCGGTTCACACACCACTTATTTTAACTCTCTTTTTGTGAGTGGAAATTACCTTATTAATGAAATGTTCCCTTTGTGTTAAAAGGAGTCATTACATTATCCAGAAAACTCTACTTTTCATCTCTGATCTTTCAGAATGAAAGTCAAGTCGTAATATTCAGAACAAACAATTATTAAGGCCATACAGGTGAACCTAGAAATATTTCTACAGCAAGTAAGATTTAATCATTCATTTGATTACAAACCGCAAAGATTTACAATGTAATTAATCCATCAGTTTTCACATTTTAACAGTGAACCGGAACTGTTTTAAGATCACTAACATGAAAGTGTAGGTTTAGAATAAATTATTTTGGATTGTTTGTTGATAGTGAATAGTGAATGTCTGTTCATAATGAATTGTAGAATATGCTGGATAGTTTCAGTTGCTGGATTCTTGATTTCTGTATGTTCATGTGATCATAAAGAAAAAGATGTTAGTACAACATGTATACTTTACCCTAAACAGCATCTTGAAGAGAAATAGGTTAACCAAGGGCAGTTCAGTTCCTTAGAAAAAAATATTCATTTTTTAATCGGCTTTGAATTAATTTTTTGCCCAATTTTAACTCTTCATGCAAGTTGTAATATTTTCAGGAGTAAGTTTTATATTTCTGGAAAGACTTTTAAGGGAAAGACTATAGTAAATATATGATTAGTGAATACATAATACAGTTTTCAGACCTCGAGCAACAGCTTTTAAAAGCATCTGAAAAAAAACGAGTACATTTTTGGGGAAATCAGATAGGAAAAAAAATAATGCTGCAAATAGGAAGAAGAGCTAAGGAAAAGATAAGGATAGTTAAGGGTAAGTATTGAGTTTTTTGCTTTGTTTTATTTCATGAAACATTACCTTTCTTGTCAGTGAGTTGAAAATGAGGTTGTGGAGTCTCCTTCTCTGGAGAGCTTCCAAGCCTGTCCGGATGTCACCCTGTGCCCTGGTGCCCTGTCCTCTAGGTGTCCCTGCTGAAGCAGGGGGGTTGGACTAGATGTCCCTTCCAACCTTAAGCATTCTGTGATTCTGTGATTCTTTTCAATACCAAATTGCCAGAATCTTTAATAATATCTATTAAAGATATCTTTGTAAAGTCATGCAGGACAACAGTAATTAAATTATGTGCATAAAAGCATGGTAAAATTTATGCCCTAGAGAGCATCGAAGAATTCAAAAGTCTCCTTTGCAGCTGTTTTACTGATGAAATGTGCAAATTACATAGATCCTGAAAATAAAGTGTTGTCTTTCCTATATAAAGTCCTCCTACTACTGTTTGTTATATTTTTTTATAATCTTTATATAAGGTGTTTATTTCCTTTCATCTTTGTTTATATTACTTTGATTTATAGTGAAAAGTAGGTCCCCAAATCTGCAGAGTTTGAGGCTAACATTAGTATTACAAATATGTAGATTTATAGGCTCTACAGATGTGTAGAAAGCTGTTCATGGTATATTTAAACACTATAACCCTTTGGGACTCTGTTACAAAACTGAACTAGTGATTAAGTGGAAAATTTATCTCATTGTAATTTTTGCTTCAAGGTCAGGGCAATGTTGATGTACAAATAATAATATCAGGGAGCAAAACTCTATCCCAAGTACTAGCTAACACTTAACTCACAAAAAGTGAAAGTGTTTTTTTTTTTTTTTTTTTTTTTTAGAGACCTAATTGGACAAACTGTACTTTATGGGAAGTACAGTTTCCATAAGAATTTTCACTTCTTTACAAGGAGAGATGTGGGTGAAAGAAAAGTAGTGAAATAAGAACAACCAACAATTACACAACTGGAAGTCTGACCATTACTTCAACCAAACTTCTTGATAAATTTTATGGGACTCAATTTTGTATAGCCAATTATGGTGATAGTGTGACCCTCTACATTCTGTAGTGAAATGCTGTGCATAAGGAGAATTGCAAAATTAAACAAAAGTACTTTTTCACAGTTTAAGAATGGAGACCAAATAAATAAATAAATTGCTTTGTTTGGAAAGATAATGAAATGGAACACTATAGAAACCTTTTTAGCTCTGAGATTGGCTGGAGAGCTCTAAAAAAGACCTCTTGTTTCCCAGCTCTGCAAGAATTTCCAAAACACTTCTGTGAGAACTTCCAATCTTCCACTTCCACTTCCAATCACTTCTGTGAGAACAAAATATTTTTAACATGAGAAGGGAAAATATAAAAATCTGTACTGATACATGGTTGTATGTATTCGTATTTCTGACTTTAAAAATATTTATTTTTCATCAAATTGGGAAACATTAATTTTTTAAATTGATAATATAAAGCATGACAGTTGAGTGGCTAAGATTACATTAATTCTAGTGCGTTAGTGTACGTTGTCTGCATTTAGTGAGGTGAATCCCACCCTTGATACCAAGATAGTAGGTTTTTAGAAACCAAATTATTATCTGCTAAAAATGCATTAAAATTTGATGCTGGCTACCACCTTAAGCTGCGCATTTATTTATTTCCCCAAAATGATAATGAGGAAATTGAGATGGTTCTTTAGAAGCTGTTGAAGCAAAGTCTTCAGAATGTGGCGTTCTTGTGTTATAGTCTGGCAATACATGCCGTGATACATGGCTGCACTTCAGAGTTCTCCTGATTATGCTTAGTCACAACTCGGGTGCCTTTCACAAGTGGCTGTTGGTTAATATTGGTTGATGTCTAAGCGCATTTCAACAGCTGAAGTCTTTAGTAGTTCAAATACAGTAAGAATTACATGCAGACATTTGGATCCAGGAACATATTACTCTATCGCTGTCCAATAATTGTCTTCTTCCATCATTCTCAAAGACTATTTAATGTGAGAATTGTTGCACCAAACCATAGGCATCTTTGGACTATTTGCCTCAGGCTTCTTTTGGAAACAAATAACCTATTTAAGGACCAACGTTTAGGCATTTGCTCAACAATAAGATCCTAAGTGTCCTGAGGTGTCTGTTTTTCTTACCAGGAAGGGTGTGTGTATGTTACTTGTTCTGTGTGTCCACACTGTAGAATCTAGCTAGTCAAATGATCCTCTCCTTGCTGTTTTTCAACAACCTGCCGTCAGTTGTGTGTTTCAATCAATGGAAAACGTTTTTCTTTTTCTTTTTCTTTTTCTTTTTTTTTTTTAATTTTCTGTTTTTTATGCTTTTATTTTCCTACTATTAATACTTGTGGAGTGAGTCTCCCAGTCCTACTGGTTCAGTTGTAGGACAGAAAAACACTGGCAAGTAAAAGAATAAGGAAAAAATACTCATGAAAAGCTTCATCATGGCAATGTGTCATAATATTTTCACTGAACAGGAAGTACAATGTCAGAAATATAAATGCAATCCTTCTTGTAATGGTGTAAGGATATAACAATTGAGACTAGGAAGAATAATAAAAGATTAGAATCACAGTATGATTGTGGTTGGAGAAGACCATTGACTCCAACATTAAACCCTTCGCCATGCCTGCTAAACCATGTCCTTAAGTGCCTCATCTACACGTTTTTTGAATGCTGCCGAGGATATTGACACCATCACTTCCCTGGGCAGCCTGTTCCAATGCTTCACCACTCTTTCTGTGTAGAAATTCTTCCTAATGTTCAACCTGAACCTACCCTGGTGCAACTTGAGGCCGTTTCCTCTTGTCTTATCGGTAATTTTTCTGGAGAAGATATTGACCCCTGCCACACTGCAGCCTCATTTCAGGTAGTTGTAGAGAGCGATAAGGCCTCCCCTGAGTCTCCTCTTCTCCAGAGTAAATAACCCTGGCTCCCTCAGCTGCTCCTCATGAGGTCTGTGCTCCAGCCCCTTTACCACCTTTGTTACCCTTTTTTGGACACACTCTTTGAATTATGTATGCCTTTAAAATACTTGCAGTACTTAAGAGGATTTTATGGTCATAGAAGCATGCCATGATCCATATTTTATATGAGATAGATCCCTCACTGACAAAAAGTTGCCAGTTTAATCATTTTTTCATATTTCTTTTAGTGATATAGTTAATTAAAAATTGTGACCAAGCAGGTATGCAGTGCCATAAAAGAGCTGAAAATACTAATTTTTGGAAGTCATCATCTCTTTCTGAAAGACACTTTTTGCTTAATTTTCCATTTTTCTTTGTTTTTTGGTTTTTTTTTCCTGTAATAGGGCTATGTTAAATTAATTAACAAAGATCTTATTTCATTTTATTTTTCCATACAATCTTTTGTTTATGTTATTTCAGAAATTATAGTTTAATTATCCTACAAACGTCATGAGTTTTGATCAATTTATTCTGCAAGTCGTTGGAAGGTAACTCATGAATGCAGCAAACATTTATGAGAATTTTCTTCATATTCATATTCCTATAGATTTTTTTATTTTTTTATTATGGAATTGCTCATGCTTCTTCTTGGCATGGCATGTTCAATATGATGAGATGCATAAGATTGTGTATCATACTTGTTACATTCACAAAAATAGTGATGGTTCTAGATAGTTCTAGATAGACAGTTCGAGATACGAAGTACCTACTCCTCATAAACATGAATACCTGCTGTTTTACTAGCTTCCTCAGCACTTCGTTTTCCTCTCTCCGGTATTTTTTGCCATATGATTATGTTTTTTGCCTTGTAAATTTTATATTACTTTTTTTTTCCCCCCACCTACCATTTTCTCTATTTTCTCCATCATCTGCTATATTGGATATAAGTACTCCGTTGTTTTGCTCTTACGGCAGACATACTCTGCTTAGGCTAAAGCAATGCATAGACTCAACAGCTTACCACAAAAGAAATTAGAAGGCACAACCACGCACACAACCGCTCAAACTAAACCTACCTCCCTACAAAACTTACCACCCTACTTCCCTGTTTACATGGCCTTCATGTGGTCTTTTGCAATTAACTACAATAAGCCATCAGAATGCCATAATGCAGAGATAGTAACTTATTAGTCTAACAGACTTTTAAAACTGTTGGTGCCTCTCAAAACACAGTTTTTATAGCTAATAAAGGCAAAGAAAGAGCTCAAGGGAAAGCTGCATATAATCGTGAGAAAGACATGCTCAAAGTGTTTTGTTTGCTGATCTGCTGCCAGAAGCAAGAAAGACTTTTGTTTTGGAATTACTTTTGGTAATGTTTCCTGCAATAAAGGTACACAAAATTAGAAGTAATAGGAGAAAATAAAAGGTGATTTAGTAATGACTGGTTGATTTACTGTGTTTATAAATTCTTTTTGAATGTCAGACAGTGCTTGAGACAAGTTTTTTTATTTCCCTGTCATATCGGTAAGGAAAAGACAAAAACAAAACAAAACAAAATGGACAAATTCTTAAAAGTATGGTTAAGAAGAAAATTAATTATCTTACAAAACCCTAAAAGCGTAGAAATAAACACATTGCTTTTCAAACGGCTAAGTTATTCTCTTTTTGTTAGAACATTCCTCTTTATCCTGCACTTTTTCAGAAGATTCATTTTCAGTGTGTTTTTTGATGTGTAGGAAAGATATTGGAGAACAGTTGCTCATTTTACGATATGCAGAGAGCAGACTAAAATTTTGTTATAAACAAACTGATTAACAGTGGTTGAGTAAAATAATGATCTTGGACTCAGATGGCTAACTCTGGGTAATACTGACCTAAAAATGAATAGAAGTTTGAAAGCTGTGCTATTGAGGTGTGTTTTATTTGAAGGTCCATATTGACAGGCAGCATCCAGGATGTGATACTTCTTGTGGAATATCCTTACTATGTCAGCCCATTTTAATTTTTAAATATTTTCATGATTTCATGCTGGCTACCAATAAGTAACTGAAAACATAGAATTGAATAGAGTATGATGTGCACAAACAAGGATAAACTGTAGAGGATAAATTTATACATAATTTGAAAGATTATGTAAAGAGTTGGGTTATTTTCTTCTACCGAGAGTTAGGTTTACTTATCCAAAATTCAAACAAACGATAGAGGTGATCAAATCATCCTAAAGTATAGAAGTATATTTTCTTATTCTCTTCAAGTGAAATTTGGAAATTTTGTTGAAGTTTGTCATCCAAAGAATGTTAGAACATCAACTAAATTTTATCTTTTAGCTCTGCTGAAAGCTTTTTTCAAAGATTCATTTTTCAATACAGAGCAGACAAATCCTGATTTCGAGATAAGCACTGTGCAGGTTCTAGTTTTGACTTTTTTTTTAATTAAAGATAACTTTTATTTTTTAAACTATGGTAAAAACACTACAACATCTAGAAAAATCACATGAACTTTATGTTACAGAAATGAAGCATTTCTTGTAATTAAGTCTTCTATTTTTGTCTGTCTTATAGCAGATGTCTATAGCAGATTTGCTATACAAAACATGATTCTTAGTAACTTTTCATTGTAGATTATAATAGTTTTTTGTTCACTGAAATTAACACTAGTTTGGCCTGGGTTAGACTGCTGCTTCTTCTTGGAAGCTACTTTTCAAGAAATTTATAGTGTGTATTGTGGAATATGTGAACAATCAGAAGTCTAGAAAGCATGTAAATTATGTAAAATGTTGAATAAGTTGCATTTGTTTAGCGTAGAGGACGGGAGATTGATAGATAGACCGATAGCCCTGTAATATGCTGCTACAAGGAAGAAGTGAGTAGTGTGGCAGACAGGACAAGAAATAATGAATTAAATTTAAAGCAAAGATTTAGATCATCCTTTTAAAAAGGTAAAGAAGGGTATTGAAATACAGGCAATTCTGACATGCTTACTCAAGCTAGTGCCAACCTCTTCCTAAGTCTTTGGGTCCTTCAGAATTCAGCAATAAACTGAAGTTGCCAAACTTGTGATTGCTACGATCCTACCTAAATGAAAAAGCTACTGCCTTCTGTTTGCCTTCATTGGCTGTGTTGATATGTGGGTAGCTCTAGTGAAATGCTGGTTTTCCATCAGAGGTTATTTATTCTGCCAGAGGGGCTCTTTTATGCATTGCTTCGTCTACCTTATTCCTTTTTTTTTTTTTTTAATATGAAACTCCTCATCGATCAAAGCAAAATTAGCTTAGTTACTTTAAAAGCAGGGACAATAACTAACTCACATGGAAAAGAAATATGGTTGAAAAAAATAAGTCTAGCCTCCTACTTCATTTACATTATATTGATAGTATTGTAATTTAAGAAGTTCATATTGTTTGCAGTTATTTTGACTTATATATATTGCGAATATGCCTATTAAGAATGCCAAATAAATTACTATATTTAAATAGTGGCGATTGCTTAAAAGTTATCATAAAAATGAAGGACACATTTAATGGGGGTGGTACATTTTGATTTAAATCCTCTTTTATTTTTAGATCATTTATACAGAGAAATTATTCATGTCATGTTATAAAACATACTAATCTTGCATTCTTTTCCTTCTAGGACAGCACAACTACTTATGTGCTGGAAGAAATGACTGTATAGTTGATAAAATTCGTAGGAAGAACTGTCCAGCATGTCGCTTGAGGAAGTGCTGTCAAGCTGGTATGGTCCTGGGAGGTGAGATAATTTTGAAGTCTGATTCAGAAAAAAAATCAGTAAATAAAATTATCTTCAGTGTATTTGGATATTAATTTGATATTCTAAAGTAAAAAAGACATCAAAATGTTATTTTTTAAAAGGATTGCTAATTTTTAAAAATAATTTCAAATTCTTCTTTGTAATTTCTTAAAGTCTAGAAATTCTAAGACAAAAACATATAATTGTAGGAATCTGTCTCCTAAAATGTATCCTTGATATAGGGTAGGAATTATGTCTTTGATGTGCATTTATTAATAATGTTGAATCAGAGAATTTGATTTAGAAAAAAAAATATGCAAATTGGAATTGACACAAAAACCAGAAATCAGTACTTTCCTTATTTCTCTTTTTTTGTTGTTGCCCCTCTCCATCATTGCTTTGAGCAGATGTCAGGAAAATTATATCCTACTATATCACAAAAGAGGGCCAGGTTTTCCTGGATACAACATCTTCCTGTTGTATCTTGCTGAAACAGATTTTACTTTGAAGAACACTCGGCTATTTTATGTAACATTTTATCTGTTGTACGCTATATATGTGCTATATCTTAGAGATTCCACGGGGGGAAAGCCAATGGTATAAGATCAAGTATTCACATATTCACATGGCAAGTTTTTCTCTGCTTATATAAAGGAATGATTTTTTTTACATTGATCATGAGAACTTTAGCAATATAAAGTTTTGACCCAGCACACCTCTTTAAAATGTATGCCTAACACTATTTACAAATGGCTATGTGAAGATAATAAAAATAATGAATTTATTTGCAAAGGAAATGAAAAAAAAAAAGGAAAGACAAACTCATTCTGGTATCATTTATTTTAATGCATTAAGCACCTATCTCTCTCTGTATATTCACATTCTTGCCTGTCCCTTCAGGAATAACTGGCATTATATACTGTTGCTAATTTCATTATCTTGATAGTTTAAGTCCATTCATAAATTAAAACATGTTTATGGCTTTCAGACTGCCATTTTAATTTCATAGACGTGTACACTTTCAGGCTCTGTTAATTGTATGGCTGTGGTTCTGGAGTATTTTGCACACGTGGCCATTGTGTCATTCTTATATTTTATACTTTTCTTGGTGATGTAAATCAGTAGTTGCCCATCAGTGAACTGCTGCAGCTGCTGGCTCTCTGTATTTCATCTCAGTAAGAGACAGTGCTGCAGGCTCAGGGGACAGCCAGTGTACTGAGAGGAGAGAGAAGAAGTGCTGCAATTTGGGCTGTGATTTGTTTTGTAGCCTCTCACCTTCCTAGACCCTCAGCACTACCTCTCCTCTAAGTCCTACTCTTCAGACAGCATCTGTTCTCCCCACAGCACTGGAGGCAGACAGTGAGGAAAACCACTAATCTATCTGGTATTACTCTCTCCCTCCTTGCTGCACCTTGGTCTGTCAGTCCTTCCTCTCATTAACAAAAATGGGGATGGAAGCGAGCTGACAGGCTGGTTGGTGGCATTGGACTGGAAGGAGGAGAGGTGAAAGGGAGGAAACGTCCTTTGGATCTTTAGCACTGTGCTTCCTGGGCAGGTAGTGATGTTCTAGAGCTGAGGTAAGAATGGAGGGAAGAAACAGTGCTGCAAAGAGCAGACCTTTCCCCTGGAACCTGCAGGATTGTTTTCCAGAGGATGGAATGCTCCCTCATGTTTGGAAGGGAAGAAAGCAAAAAGGACAGAGTGGACTGTGGAAAGTATGTGGTAAGAATGGAGACTCAGGAAAGGAAGAGGCGGCAGGCATAAAGCCTAGTTTCATAAGCTTTGGGGACAACTGTGTGAATTACATCAGATTTAGTACAGCAGATTAATTTATTTATTCCTGTCTGTAAGTTTTATGCATCAAAAGTCTGGTGCTGATCATGACTTCAATTTTAATTGAAGACAAGTTAAAGTGTTAAACTTAAGTGTTAACTTAAAGACAAGTGTTTTAACATGATAGGCAGACACGGAGAGGAGTATATGGTGAATCACTGGCATCATCTACTCCTTTCAATGTTTTTCTGCATTGTAATTCTACATAGAAAAACTTTTGACTTTTTTTTTCTGTATTTTGTATATGTTTCTGGATACTAGTTTAAAAATATTTTTTTCTTTTCTTAGTAATTCTGAAAAATGTAGATTTTGCTCTGGAAGTAGGTGTCTAAAATGGAAAAAAAATGGACGCTTTTGCTAGCTATATTAACAGCGTAGTATGTGGATATGTTATGTCCTCATATTTGAACCCAAAACCTGAGGAAAAAGGTTCTGCAACACTAACTTGTTTACTATCATTTGTGAAAAGAATAAGAACTTCCTGTTTCTCTCTGAATCTTTTCTTTTCCTCAGGTAGTACTAGGAATATGCAAATAATTTATTTGTATTTAGATAGTTTTTTATAGTTTTAGATAGTTTAGATAGTGTTTTAGATTGTTTTTGTGGATTAGACGGTTATACCTAGCCAGTTATTATTTCTAGTAATATCTTCATATTAATCCTTCAAAAGTCTCCAAATAGGGATCTCCCTCTAAGTACATGTGAAATTTCCTCAGGAAATAGGATTTTCTTGCAGAAATTTCAAGTGTATGAACCAACATTATTTTGTAATGGCAGTGAATGGCAGACTGAGACCTATAGTGAAATTGAAGTATGTTAGCAGTTAACCTGTTTTTAGAAAATATTTTTTTAAGAATAAGAAATGTGTGCAGTTTAATGAACAGATTAAAACATTGCACGTATATTTATAAAAATTTGTTGAGGCGTTTCTATCTCATGCACATATCTGAGGAAAAGATTTTCTCTCTGGCATGTGTACTGCTATTGCTCATGCAGATCCAATACAATTGAACGTCACATTTCACAAAGACTTTCTGTGATCCAGTGAGCAAAAGTCTTCTTGTAAGGCAATCATATTCTCTACCAAGACTCCAACCACTGCTTCATCTTTTGTAAACAAGGTTCCTGTTAGCAGTGATTTGCATATGAGATCAGGAGAATCAGCTGAAGAGGAGAATATCCAACTTAGGAGTTTAAATAGGGACTCTACTAAGAGAAAAATATTTTTTAACATTTATGGAAAAGGTTTTAGATCTTTTCCAAAGAGGATCTTTCCATAGGTCCCAGAGAGCTTTCTGACTTTTGACCCTCTAGATAGCTATGGGACTCTCTGGGCAGAAATCAAGGTTGCAGGGGCTCAGGTGCTGTTCTTATCCATCCCTCCAATCTTTCCAGTAAAGAAAAAAGGCCAAGATGGCAGAAGATGCATATGTCATAGCAACATCTGTCTGCGTACCTGGTGTACCTGGCGTTGGGCTGCAGTGACTGGAGCACTGACATGGGTTGGCACAAGCTTCATAGGCAGGATAGGCAAGGAGGAAGATGAGGGAGTTGCACTTCTCAGCTTTTTTAACTGCCTAGACCTTCAATATGAAGCTAGAGGGATATATGCTGAAAGCCTCTGGATCACAGTCAAACAGAAGAGTAAATACATGTTACGCTGTGGTGGAGGGAGTCAGTCTTGTTCAGGCGTTCCAGGAATATGCTAGACTATGCTGGTGACAATTTTCACAGAGAAATGTCAGATCAGGAACCCAAGGATAACTGTTCTTCACCGGCTGCTCACAAACAGGAAACAAGTGGTGGAGAACGCAGTCACAGCTGGCTGCTGGGGTGACAGCAACCATGACGTGGCTGAGCTCAGATGGACAGGAAACCCGGGAAGGTCAGCAGCAGAGTTAGGGCTCTGGAGTTCAGGAGAACAGCCTGCAGCTTGTTTAGCAAATTGCTGGGCAGAAACCTTTGGGAAGCTGCCATGAAAGGAAAGGTATCCAGGAGAACTGGTTCATTTTTATAGTAAATTTACTGAGATCAAGAAAAGACCACCCATTGTTTAGGACTCGCATAAGAGAAAGGTTCAGGACTAAGATAAGTTCAGGACTGCACTTAATACTAACTGCACAAATTAATCCATCCCCTTCCTACTCTTCTACATAACAGGCTTTTAGAAAATTTAAATTAATTTTCCAAGTAGTGATTTCTGGGAGTGTCAAAGGGTTTATGAAAAGATACATTACTTCTGCTTTGTTCCTTTAGTTTGTATACACCCTCCTTGGGTGTACACAGCTTGTTCTACTACACAAAATGTAAGAGCATAGTGACCTTAAAGTCAGAGCCATAGTGTTCTGTCAAGAATAATAAATCATTGACATATTTCACCTGATTACAGAGTATGATGAGGAAGGTGAGATTTCAGACTTTTAGTAGAAACCCAACCATTCTAACATGAAATGTCGGCTGTCTACAATGTCTTATTGGCAGTGCGAGTCTGTGTATATAACTAAAAAATGCTTAAATACACGATTTATTTATCAAAGAGAAAATCATAATATATTTGATAATTAGATGAAGTAGATTTTTTTATTTTTTACAGATGTGTGTTTTCTAGGTACACATAGTACAAAAATGCTATATTACTTGCTATTTATAGCAAATTGTATGTAGGAGAACTGTGAATTCCAAGAAACTGCTTGAAGTTGGGTATCTCTGTCAAAATAAATTAATGAAAAGGGTACAAAGAAAGACCCTGCTATCCAAATGTGCGCAGGCTGGTGTTACAGTGAATAGTTGCTAGATTGATTAGTATTTTTTACCCACTATATAACAAAGTTGAGACATTTGTTTATCTTCGAACAAGAATTTATCTGAATATTTATGCAAGCTACAACTAAAAAGCTAAGCTATCGATAAATCTGCTATTTTCCTTATATCCTTAAGAGTTCATGGTCACTTTGGGGTAGATGGGAAAGTTTAATGTGAATTGTTAGCAGTCATCTCTCCATTGGATAGGCTGAAATTATTATTTATGTACTATAAAATATCAAAAGGTGTTCTCCATGCTCAGTTTTCCTTCATGCCTAAACAATATTTATTGGGTACTTTCTAGCATTTTTAGGACTATGAATAGTTTTGTTCTGACAGAAATTGCCCTTGGTGTCTAATAATCTTTTTTCTTTCTTTGGTTCAGATACAACCTAAGGTATCTGTTTATATTTGGTTCTTTACGAAGGAATCCCTAGTCAGGAATGCTCTCGTGCTTACTAATATGTTAATCCTTGGCAGAAAGAGGTAAATTGTGCCCAAGATTGTCAGGGCACGGAAGCTGAGCCTCATTAAACACCCAGTTGAGTCACTGGAAGTGAGACCTCCGGCTTTATTGTCATTGAGGAGCCCATCCCACGCATTTATACTCCCAGAAAAATGTGTGGATTGAAATTGTGTTCAGGGTACTCCTTTGGGATTTTAGGTACAGTTCCATCAGGTTTTGCAGCTTTTGCACATCTTTTTTTTTGCATGTGAAATGCTCAATGTATGGGTATTTATGATAGGATTCTTTAAAGAATTTGAAAAAGAAAGCCAATTTTAGCATCTTAAATTGCATTCATCTGCTCAACCCCGTCTAGGGGTTAAATCTTTGAACTCAAAGACGTGAGGATTGATTCTGCTTTCAGTTGTGCCAATGAACATCAAGAGTAAGTAATTTAAATAACCAAGTTATCTGTGTGTAAAATATTTGAAAATAAGTGAATGAATCTTTCCATGTTTGGTGTATTAATCTTGCTTGATGCTTTATTACTGATGTATTAACAAATGCTTTCAATGGGTCATTTTAATTTTCCCAAGGATGTATCCTACATCTTCCTAAATGACGACACTGAATTTCCATAAAATTTGATATCCTCTCTTATATGGCAGCCTTTGAGGAAAATAAGTAGGCAACTTCCTCAGTTAAACCATAAACCTTTTATTTTCCTGTGTTTCTTATGTTTTCCTTCTTTTTAAGGAGGAAAGTAATAAATAAGACTGACTTGGCTAGCATCTCTAGAGTCCTTCTAAAGTCTAAGATCAGAAACAAGCTTTGTACAGGAGTCAGAGCAGGTGCCTGGATTTAGGCGAGCCTCTCTGCTCGTCAGGAGTGCCCTGAAGCCGGCTGCGTGCACCGGCTGCGTTCTGACCGAGCAGCGAGGCTTTAAAGGAAAAGAAAAAGGGAGGCAGCATGAAATGGAGATATATTTGTGTCTCCTTCCCTGCCTAATCTCAGCTCAGAAAGAAATGTACCATCTAATTTAAAGGTTTCAAAAGATAATTTACTAGGTCTGATACAAGCTGACATTTAATTCAAACACATAAAGATACATTAATATCTTTGTTCCCTTGATCTCATGTATTTTGCAGTGTTTTTTGCATGTTGGCATTTTAAAATGCAGTTTCTCAATGGTTCAGCAGTTTCATAGGGGCGGATTTTCTTCACATTTAGTGAGATGTTGTGCTTCTCTGTCTTTTTCTACTATTGATGAATTTTGCAAAAACTCTTAGGACAGTAGAAATACTCATATGATTTCTGAGTTTTCTTACAACAGAACCTTCTCCTTCCTCATTGTTTAAGGATGAAACATGTAAGATTTTTTATTCTCTTAGGCAGAAGGACTTATTCTTTGTCTCCTGTCACACTTCATCTTTCCTGTTATTGTCCCAGGTCATACAAATCAGACCATATATATCAGCATTTTTGTATTTTTGTTGCACTTTTTTTTTTTCTGACCCCCCCCCCCTTTTTTTTTTTACTCAGCAAAACAACTTTGGCGGAGTTGAGACCTGAATGATTTAACTAGGGTTTTCATCACCTTTGAAGGTTTACTTGAAGTGAATGTGTTGCACTCAGCCACCTCTACATGGATTGATCTTTTTATTGAAATATTTAGTGTGGTAATCTGTTCCTGAGGCTTGCTGTCCAGAAGCCCTGAAGACTCAAATTCCTTGTTGCTCTAGAATGTTTCCATGAAAGAAAGTTGAAGAATTACTACCTACAGCTTTGGATATTTGCATAGCTGTACTTGACATAGTATTTGTGCTTATCTAGGGAGGCAGTTCAGCTATTATCTTTTAGTAAGTGTTCTTCAAATCGCTGCAGCATAGAAATATAAATTACAATTACAGAAAAAGTAAAATTATTCTCTAGAAACTGAAGAAATCTTCAAGTGTTGACATGTGGTTTCATAACATTTGTTGAGTTTTTACTTATCATTTAATTATATTTTTTGTGGTAAACAACAAGTGCAATATTACAAATCATCAAACAGAATTTAGCTATGAGATTGAAATGCCTTTTCAGAAGTGGGAAGAAAGAGATTGCTACATGTAATAGTTATTTTACTTGCATTTTTTTCCCGAATATTAGAGAAAAAAAAATGAAATGGTGTCATTAAATAACATTGACCAGAAACTGAGCTGTAGAGCTATTTGGCTCAACTGTCAGCATATTATAGAGCAGTGGGAACTGAACCAGAAAACACTTTATCAGGTTACTGTAACCCAGAATTCGTGGCAATAATTTTAATGGGTGGATTAATTCATCTCTCAAGGCAGGAAGGAGGATATGGAGGGAGTAACTTAAGAATTTTCCAGCTTTTTAAAAAATTATGTAAGTTGTGAAACAAAAAATAGAAAACATGTAGAAGCCAATTGTAGTTTCTTTCTACAGAATGAAAGTTTTATCTCTCTGGTTAATTTTTAACAGGTCAACAATTTTCTTTTTCAGGACGAAAATTTAAAAAGTTTAACAAAATTAAGGTTGTGAGAACATTAGATGTCGCACTCCAGCAGCCAGCAGCCCTTCAGGATGAAAGCCAGTCTCTAACCCAGAGGCCATCCTTTTCTCCAAATCAAGAAATACAGTTTGTTCCCCCAATGATGAGTGTTTTACGAGGTATAGAGCCAGAAGTTGTCTATGCCGGTTATGACAATACGAAGCCTGAAACACCAAGTTCCTTGCTGACCAGTCTAAATCATCTTTGTGAGAGGCAACTTCTTTGTGTGGTCAAGTGGTCTAAACTGCTACCAGGTAATAACACTTCTTATATGTAGATAATTCTATTTAAGCAAATATGTCATAGGATGAGCAGTCAAAAAAGTACACTGTTTTTCTGTTGTCTGCATATTACTTAATTCTTAACAAATTGCATAAGGACTTAGCAGATGATTTATGCAATAAAATGCACTATAAAATATATTTTAATAATACATGCTTCTTAAAGGAAAACTTTAGACATTAAAAAGACATTAAAAAGAAAACAGCCAAAATATTCCTGTATCTGGCCATTATAATAGCCTTTCCATTTTACCCCCTTCTAATCTGCTATTCATTCTTTTGTAATGGGAATATTTAGACTTCTGAATGTTCTCTGTTCTTATTCCAGCTTAAATGAATTTTAAAGACAACAGAGAAAAATTATAATAAAAAATAATGGTTAGGAATAAGCACCACACAAATAGACTGCTATCCAAACATAACTGAATGGTGAAGATCCAGAGCTGGCTCACAAAAAAAAAGAAAAAAAAAAAGAAAAAACAAGTCATGTTATGTGTCTACGTGCTCTGCATGCTCATAGGAACTTAATCCTGGGATCTGTAAAAGCCAGTATGTTAAACTGGAAAGCCTGGAAATATGGTTTCATGTGAGCACAAGTTGATATCTCACTGCTGCAGGAAGGGGTCTCGTTTGCTGCTCCTTGGTAGTGCAGCTTGCTCTTGTCTGACCTCTTAGTCGAACTGATTCATCTCATTAAGTGAGAACAAAACAAATCTTTTTTTTCCCCTCTGTAGTTTTCTGATGGCTTCATGAGCTGAATCGGCTTACTGAGGGGTAACATGAAGGCCAGAGGTGGCTTGAAAGAGGTAACAGGACTAGGTAATGGACCACTGCTTTCAGCAGCAGAGAGGTGTTAGATTGACTCTGCTGCATCATAACAGTCTTCAAAGTTATGGAAGAGCTAAAGGTTTTAAAGTAAAGTATGCATCTTCCACTGTGATTCACAACTGAAAACACTTCTCTGTAGTTAAAATCAAGTTGTTCACAGGTGGATAGTTATTGTATTGCAACTTTGTCTCTTGTAAAGAACACTGAAATACGAGATTTATTAGATAAGAGTTGATTACAGTGATGATGTAATATTTTTACTAAAGACGAATGAGATTCATTCGTATTTCCTAAATATAAATATAATTTAGTCACCACTGACTGGTGGTGGCTAAAGTTAATTTTGGTTTGATCATTTCAAAATACTGGAAAAGAAAAAGAATGGGTTACATCTAGAATGAAGTGATCAGTTATTATATGAACTTCACAAGCTTCCTTGAGCTATGTCCTCAAAAACACTTGTTTTCCTAGTTACTCCCATTATTCTTAACTACCCAAAGCTTTCTAGTTATACCCAGTTTTAGAGCTTATGTACAAAGTTGTGTTCTAAAGAACGCTACTCCTCTGTCTAAATAAGGACCATAACATATTTTAACTTTTTATTTCATCTCCAGGGTTTCGGAATTTGCATATTGATGATCAGATAACCCTCATCCAGTATTCCTGGATGAGTCTAATGGTCTTTGCAATGGGATGGAGATCATACAAACATGTCAGTGGTCAGATGTTATATTTTGCACCAGATTTGATACTAAATGAGTAAGTAGACTCAACTGTTCCGTAATATAAATGTCATTCTGAACCCGTTTGTGTTAATGAGAATGTAACTTCATTGAGGTGACCAAACAGAGGAGTTCTAATAATGTTTTGCATTATCTATGACAAAAAAAAAAAAAAAGATAATGATGCTGTAACATGATTTATTTGAATTTATGTGACTTAGATGTTTCTGAGATCATGTTTAATAAATGGAAAAAACTCTATTTTGGACATTGTTTGGTGAGGTGCAAGTAGGCTACATATAGTCTAAAACACTCAGTTTTGACACTTTCTTATTAAACCATTTTTCTAAAGCATCCTTCTTGTTAGAAAATTGTACTAATTTAGCAAGAAGGAGTTTTAATATCAAGGATAACATTTTCAGATGATTTTAGATTTTTTTTTTTTTGAGGAGGAGATTGTTGGTATAGATTATCCTTCACGATGCAGATAATCTTAATTTCTGTCTTTGTCAGTTTTTCAGTTCAGCAATTTAATATTACCAAAATTGTAATTTTGGATACTTTGGGCATAACACACAGGATCTTTTCATGAATAGTAAGGCGTTCAAGGCAAGCAAGGAAAAGTTTCTCTATATATTTATTTTTCCTTAATATCCTAAAAGAGACAGTATAAAGAGAGCTAAAAGTTAAGCAAACTTTCATATAGATCATGTCTGTGTAAGGATTAAGGTCTTGAAGAAGACCTATGCACCGATATCCAAAATTTACAAACTTGTGTCATCTCAATTGAAAACAACATAAAATCTGTACTTAAAATCTGTATGCATCTGTGAGTGAAATCTGACATCTAAGTTTTTTTTTTCCATCTGTGTTCTTTATACAAGATATTCAGTGCATTAGGCTGGTCCTTTGTCCCATATATATTAATGAAGTTTACAACACTTTAAAGGGATGGGCCTGAGAAAACTTGTCACTGTATTCTCCTACTGTGCACCCAGCGACATCTCAATCTGTCTTCAGGCAGTACTAACACATCCTGGACTATTACCCTACGTGTGGACCACTGCTGCCACCTGGTGAAGAAGACTTTAAGTACTTTCTTCCAGAAAAGGGTTGAGATTTATGAGCACCGCTCACAAGCCCTCCAAGAGAACTTTTTGTTTGCAGCCCAAGTCTATCTACACTGAGAGAGAGGGATTGACCATACAGCCTTCTTTCCATTGGAGAACATCTCAGCAGTCCTCTTTGAAACATTAGAAACAGAGTTAGAAACAAAGAGTAATTGGTACCCTCAATCATATCTACTGACTGGTACACTCGGTCTTACAGCTACACTGCAAAATAGATAAGGAAACTGATAAACTTCAAAAATGCCTAGAAAAAGCAATTAATTTTTAGGTGGAGGTGATCTGACTTGTACATGGGTGTACAGGCACTTAGGCCAGAAGAGCAGGAGTGCACACCTAGAGGTGGAAGAAGATAAGGGAAATTTCTTCTGTTGTGGCACCTCATGCTTAAGGCGTTTTGAAATGGCCATGAAATCACAGTGCAAAATTTGTTTCACAGACAATATTTATTGGGAGACTTCATCCAGAAGTCATTTTTGTTGCTCTTTGAGAATGCTGTCCTTAGTAACAGTAACTTTGAACAGGAAAGCCAGGACTGTTAGTTTGATGTGTTTTCATGAATTAATATTAAATCACTGCAAAGATTTTTTTTGTTACTTAGATGTCCCAGTTTCTGGATATATGTCTAAGAAGAAAATTTTGGTAATACCAAATGTGGAAAGCTAATATCACCCTTCTGAGATGCCTCTTACGAAAAGGGAATAGTAGGAAAGAATAAAAAACGAGATTTAAATTAGACATGGAAATAACTATGTCCATGCATATCTAACAGATCAAAAGTTTATATTTAATTCATGTCAAAACTGATGCAACAGTTCAGATTTTGAAAAAGAAAAAAAAAGTTATAAAATAACAGCAGAGAAGAAAAAAAAACCTCAATACATTGAGAAGATTCTTTTAGACATAGAAAATATCTTATGATGTCTTTACTGGGAGTAATATCTGCAACCAGGTTAGAATCTTTCTCTGAATTTCTGAACATTAGAATTCCCTTTGTAAACAGAGACAAAGCTCCCTTTAGTGTCATGGGGCAAAATTTAATCTTGTCTTTGTTTTTCCATTCAGATGAGAATGCAGCTTTCTAAAATCAGCTCATGTTGTTGGCTCTTCAGGTTCAGTTTATAAACTATAGGATGCTGCTGTTGCAGTCATTTCAATTGAAAACCTTGGCCTTCCTGATAAATATACACAATAAAGTATATTATGAATAATAAAATCTCAAAGTGAAAAAAAAGGGATCTAATTCTGCAAAAAAAAAAAAAATTTTACACATTGGCTGATATGATTTGTCCTGTTTACACACTTTCTTAAATAAGGCTATGTTAGAGTTCAAAATATGTAAAATATTTTTGTATATTTATATTTAATAATTATAAACTTTTTTAATGTTATAAAATGTTACAAAATAGTATCATTGCTGTTAGTGGTAAAATCTTATTTAGACTTTCAATAAAATATTTTAATACATGGTAAATACATTTTCTCAAAACTCAATGACAGGTTTTTATAAAACCTATCAGAGGTAGGAACAGGCAATCTTAAATTTTAGGTTCTTTTTTCAAAGAATAAAAGAAATCTGCCAACTTATGAAAGAAAACAATTTCAAATTGCGTCAATTGTCTTAATTTCAAATTGAAAGAAAACAATTTCAAATTGTTTCAAATTTCTATTGTAATAATACAATATTTCACATTAGTATTTTAAGTTAATAAAAACCCTCTTTTTTGTGGTTAATCTTCAGCTTTGATAGCCTCCAAGGTTCCTTCAGACCAATAACAACAGAGTAAACATCCAAAATAGTAGCAAAATTGTTACTATTAAAAAACACATATATAAATATAGAAAAATTCATTTTTTTCCTCTCTCTCTAGGTATAATCTCTTCTCTTATTTTCAGTAATGTGAAATTTGTATAATATGTACATAATATATATTATATATAATTCACATAATTGTATAAATGTATAATTTAATTGGTAACAAGCTATTTCCTTCAAACAATTAGAAGCTGAGTCTTTTCTTTATTTTCTTTTTTCTTTTTTTAACTTTTTCTGGGTGTAAGACAGAGGATGAAAGAATCATCGTTCTATTCACTGTGTCTATCCATGTGGCAGCTTCCACAGGAATTTGTCAGACTTCAAGTCAGCCAAGAAGAGTTCTTGTGTATGAAGGCACTTTTACTTCTCAATACAAGTAGGTAGAAAAATGCTTTATTTCTGTGTAACATATTACAAGCTGTAATTTAGAGTTCCGGGCAGTATTGTTTGGCCTGAAAATTGCCAAGCTGTCTGGTCTAATAAATGGAAAATTTCTTTAGGAAAAAAAGGTTTATATATTTATAAGGAGCAAAAAATCTGTACTTCATTGTTGTGTTTGTTCTATATCATGCTGGAGAAATGCTAGATCCAGTCAGATTTCATTATACATTTTCTAAGCAAGTGAGAGGCTGTGGAGTCTGCTTCTCTGGAGATCTTCCAAACCAGCCTGGATGCCACCCTGTGCCACGTGCTCTAGGTGTCCCTGCTGGAGCAGGGGATTGGGCTAGATGATCTCTAGAGGTCCCTTCCAACCTCAACCATTCTGTGATTCTGTGACTTATTTCATCCAGGGAGCAATTTAGTTTAAATGAGACTGAACATATAACCTTACAACCCTTACAACCCTTACAACCATTAGAAATACAAACAAGTATTTAATAAATTGTCAGATTTGTTGATTGAGCGCTTTATCCTGGCCAAGAAGTTAAAGTATGCTTACTTTTTTAAAAAAAGTCCAGCAGTACTAACATTTATTCAACTTCTGTTTGTAAAGTGGTTGAGCTTAGCTCAGATATAAACAAATGACAATATTGTTGCATTTAGTTTTTTGTTTAAGAGCAAGTTTTTGATCACTATAATCATTCATGTCTTTTAAGATCGCAGCGCATGCAGTGGTGTTCCACTTTAACCGAGTAATATGGAAGTGTATGAAGTTCTCTTCTGAAACCCTTTCTAAAATGCTGAAAAGTCCTTCTGCGGAGAGCATAATTGTCAGTGATGAATTCCCAGATGGTATAGCTATTATTAGAAATGCAACTTAGGCAACTTGTAAACTTATAAGGATACTGAGGTTTGGTTCTCTACGTACTGAGTAGGAGCAGAGACATGTGAATCCCGAATAATCTTATTTCCTGGTTGTGCAAAGTTTCAGTAAAAGATAAAGAAGATAAAGAACTAAAATTTATTCCTTCTTAAGATGTTCTTGGCTGGTCTTTACCTAAGCTCATGATAAAATACCAGTCATCAACAGAATGTAATGTTCGCTCATATAAATATGAAAGTTACTAAAATAGTGAACACGCACTGCTAATGCAATAAAAATAATGTGAACCAAAATTCCTCCCTGATATAACTGCAGTTGCTTTGCTGGAATTGCAGGGTGTTGAATGTATTCTTATTTTAAATGGATTCCACCTCTTTTTCCTCACTAATAGAACTTCCATATCTATATGACTATTAGAGAGAAGTCTTACATTTCAGTGAAATTTAGATACACTTGTGATATAATAATAAAGTACGCTGTAAAATACAGTATAAACTGCTCCTGTATTTTAAATCTCTCTCGCTGTGCTAAGAATAAATTGCAAAGCAAATGTTACTTCTTTTTTAGTTCCTTTGGAAGGTCTAAGAAGTCAAAGCCAATTTGATGAGATGCGAACGAGCTACATTAGAGAACTGGTGAAGGCAATTGGTTTGCGCCAGAAAGGCGTCGTGGCCAACTCGCAGCGCTTTTATCAGCTCACGAAACTGATGGATTCCATGCACGATGTAAGTTTCCTTGTTAATTTGTTTTGCTTTTTATGGCAGAAGGAAGTAATAAGTCTTAAAAGTAATTTTATGGAAAGATGAAGTGACTATCAACATTTCTAAATGAAAAATATTATAACTAGAATTTTCTTTGTGTATATCTGTGTGAATACGTATATATTTATAAATATGTATTGCATACGAAATGGTATACAAGATTTAAGTGAGCGAGAAATAATATTTGAATGTGGCACTATTTCTGCTATTATGTTTGTTGGTAGGGATCTATCTATGTATATGTATGCTAGTGAGTGCTTAAAAACATTTTAAAAATGCAAAGGATAGGAAATTAATGTTTTGAAGTCAGAATTCAAAGAATTAGGGATCATCCAGATAATTTTCCAACCATATTTGAACTATTAGTCCATATATATTGTAAGCATTTATTAAGTTTTTGTCTCTACTACTAGTCTTTGATAGCTCCAATAATGAAGTAGAAATTCATGAGGGTTTTAAAATATGAAACTGAAGCCTTTCCAGATCCCTGAGATTCTAACATACAGCCTTAGGATTTATTAAAACTGAGGAGTGAATAACATTCTGTAGAAACCTCTATCCTTGTGAATATTGTTTTGTAATGGCTGTCTCTGCAAGACAGGCAAAATCAGAGGTCCAGGGCAACTCTTGACATTTTTAGCAAGTACTTGAGGAATACATTAAGACAATCTAGGAAGACTGCTTTTGAGTTCTGTGCTGGTCGAGAGGAACTTACTTAGAATCTCAAGGAAAGATGATGTCTTTACTTGTTTACATTCTTCTGTATTCACCAAATCTACATTTTGTTTTCATTCTTTATGAATAAGTAGATATTCATCTAAAACCTTTTATCACTAATTACTCATTTTGATAGGAAAAAAACCCCAATAACTTGAAGACCTTATATTGATTAAGAGAGGTAACAAGAGTGGTAAGTATGTGTTTCACCAAGTAATCCAGAATCTGTTCATCCACTGCACAAACCTCTTCACAAACTTCTTCCATCCACAGAAAAAGCATACTTACATGCCAAGGGAGGCAATAGAGAATACTGAACAGGAGAAGGAGCTTAATTTCAAGTATTTAATGGTAATCAGACTCCAGTCTTGACTTGGCACTGCTAGTGCCAAACCTTTCCCTGTATTTGGACTTCAGACACCTTATCCTTGCAAAAAAAAAAAAAAATAGTCCAGTCTATTAGTCATAGTAACCCTGTGCTCAATGAACCTGTTTGGTGTATCATTCTTGGGATAAAAGGCTTTTCCTGACTTGTAGAATTTGTGATCTGAATCTCATAGTATCCAGTAGGATGTAGGGTCAATCGCTTCATTTTAAATACTTTTGCAAAGTAGCCTCAATGGGAGCAAGTGAGTGAGCTTGTAGCGAAGTATCCTGCAGAGTGATGGCTAGCGTAGTGTTTGGGACACACAGCATTAATTCAAGTCCCTATTCCAACTCATGCTGACAGAGATAAGGGAGAGACAGGAGAAAGATCACTCTGGTAACAGAAATAATATGATCTTTGACAATATAAAGGACACACATGTAAAATAAAACCTTCTATTAACTTGAAACATTTCAATTACAGAAAAGAGGTGAATTTTATTAAGCAGTTGCTTTGGAAAGGCAGGGACGTATGAAGTTTAATACTTGTGACATACCCAAATATGACCATAATGAGCACCATGGAAAAGCTCACAAGAAAGTAACAAATTCTGTCCTCAAAGTGGTATCTGAATGGCATGCAGTAAATGTATCATCAAAACATGTTGAGCATCAGGATAAAATAGAAGATTTAATAATGATGAACAGCATGTATATCTGACTACGTTCACAGTTAGCCTGATTTATCATGTTGTATTTTATTAAATCCAGCTAGTGAAACAGCTCCATCTCTTCTGCCTGAACACCTTTCTCCAGTCCCGGGCACTAAGCGTTGAATTCCCCGAGATGATGTCGGAGGTGATCGCTGCCCAGCTGCCCAAGATTCTGGCAGGGATGGTGAAACCTCTTCTCTTTCACAAAAAGTGAAATGTCTTTTCTCTTATCATAGAGATGATTTCTGGGTCATGGTTTTGTTTGTTTATTTTGGTCAAGATTTTGCAATGCCAGGACTTCGGTATATTTGTCATACGTACCCTACCTGTTGCTTTATACTTGTAACATACACAACCATGTAAGTTTGATGTACATATTGTGAGTTCTTGATTCCTTTTACTGCAAAAATCACGACAGTCATAAGAAATGTTTTGTAAACTTGGCTAGATTGCTCTTTAGATGTGCGTACGAATGATAATGAAAACAGCTTTCAGATTTCTAAGAAAAGTTATCTTATACATTTTTCTTACATATTATACACTTTCAAAGTTCTTATATGACATGGTGTAAACTTTTTAATACATTATGTGCATGGGTACCTGTGGGCATGCGTGTAATACTAAATATTTTTAAGAAATTAAAATATATATTGCCCACATTTTCTCATGGATATTTCACTTTTTACATAGTAATCTGCCTCACATAAATATCCTCTCAAAATAAGCTGTCCAGATCTAAGTAGATGTCACTGTGGTATCTTCATGAGTAACTAAAATGCTAGCAACAAAACATAACATTCATATTCTTGTCTGTGCTCATGCTGCATTGAAACTGTGAGGCCAGTGTGCTGCTTTTGCACCATTCAGCTCAATTCTTCTTCAAAAATTGGAAAGCTTATAAAAATGTCCATGTATGTTACGCCAGAATAATGTGTATGCAAACACACTCAGCTTTAGTTTGCACTATTTTTCTTTAAAGTTTGGCATTTGCTAAAGCTAAATCACTTAGCTGTAATCTTAAATTTGGCAACTTCTTTAAAATTCTGTATTTCAGAAGCTTTAAATAGAAATGTTTTCAGAGACTACAACTCTTAATTATCTTAATGCTTTGAATTTTAATGTTGAATACTCAAACAACCATTAACATCAAATTGTAGAGAGATTAAATGCAAAAAGAAATGGAAAATATGACTAAAATGTTTTTGATACACATCAGGCTCATTTTGTTACCATTTTGTAGAGGTAAATATTTTATGCTTTAAAGGCATGCTGTTATAATTTGGGTAACAGTAAAAGAGGAATTGAACTCAATTAGCTTTATTTGTTCAAAAGATTTGTCATATTTTACCATGGAAATGAAATATTTGACTGAAGAATGATAATGTGGTGATATTTTTGCCTTAGGGTTGAGTTTAAAACAACTCATAGGTATGAAGCACTCAACCAAAAGAGAAAGAGAGCAAAAGAGAAATGGTTACAGCCCCCAAAGAGTTTATAAGGGAATTACAATATGAGATATTTTTGCCATTTTGCTAAAAATTGTACTGAAGTTCTCTAGCAGTTCTAGTTCTCCAGAAGTTGTAGGGGGACAGTGAGTCACACTGGGGTTCCTGTTAGCCACGCACGAGGGCTCTTTTGCCCTTACATGTTGGCTACATCCATCATGTCAGCTGCGTGTAATTTGATGTGCATAGAAATATCCTTGTCATGGGAGCAAAGTACAACGGCAGACCTGCTGGATATAAGTTCAGTATTCCTCATTAAATCAGGGTGATGCTCATTAAAAGTTTAAGTGATTTTATTTGTATACAAAGAAATGCTGAGAAGTACCATCTAAAAGGTAGGTCTAAAGATATCTTTGTTATTTATCGATGCTTAAAGCCATTCCAGAAGAAAGCTATGTTACAAATGGGAATAAAAACTTTTCAGCCTCTCACATAATAATACAAATCCGCTAGGAGTGGGGAAAAGAAATATCCTCAGATAAAATGGCATAACCAGACTTCCTTGCTAGTTGACTAGGGTCATGATTTTGAACTGCCAAGAGACAACCATTTTTTTCAGTACAGTCTGACTTATAAGTCTGATCTTTAAAGCAATTATGTTCTAATAAATAATGCAGAAATCTTCATTTCTGCTTTAGAAATAAACAAGGCTTTAGTTTATTGATTTTTATTTGTATTTGCATTCAGTAAGTGTGGAGCGCAGTTAAAAAAAAATTGTTGATTACAACCATCCTGCTTTTGTATAACAAAAATATTTTCATATATCCTCTGGTAAGTTAAACATTGCCATATGATTTACTGTTCACTGTTTACAGAAATTGTAAGACTCTAACAGAAACTTCCCACACTAAAAATTACTCCTTGACATCCTAATTCTGAAATGAGAAAATGGAAGAGTCAATATGCTTGCCTTAAAAATGCCCTAGGTCAAACTCCATCTGCCTTTTACTCTGTTCCTACAATTTGTTCCAAGTGTTTGCCATGTCACTGTGGCCCTTAAGTGTGGCAGCTTAGTCTGAAATACTATGCATTTGTCTCAAAGGCATCATCCAAAAGAAAGATCAGATGTCTTTTGGGAATAAATAGCAAATAAATAGCAATTCTATTTCTTGAAGATCTCTATCGTTCAGAAAAAAATTCCAGAGTATCATGATCATGATGAATAACACACTGCACAAGGCTTTCAGGAAGAGTTTGGCTAAATGTGGCTGCTATGTCTTTTGAAAATCCTGTATTCATTATTAAGTTGTCTAAAGTTAGACAAAACTAAATTAATCTGAGATCTTCCAGCTTTGAGCTCAGTTTCTAAAATTGCATTTAGTCTCTATTTTGGTGTCATCATTTTCTTCAGATTATACTGATACCATTTACAATAATCAAAACACAAATTTTTTTCCTTCTCCTGCAGACATTTCAGGTGCTGTGATTTTGCAGCACTGCAGCCATATCCAAAGAACTATTAGCAAACTAGTTTTCTCTAGGCGTTTTTCAGAGTTCAAGGCTTGTCAGTTTTCTGTATTTCTCAGCATTTATATTTGCTTCAAGATTAAGGTGTTTTTTAACCTGACGTTTACAAATAGGTCTAATTAAACAACTTCTAATGCTTTTGTATCTATTGAACTAGGCATAAAAAGGCTGCATCTTCTTATGTTGAATTTTGCTTACCAATAGTAGGAAATTTTGGTGGACAAAGAAAGTTCTTGCTCCAGCATAAATGATTTTCGTGATTACATTTATAAATATATTAATACTGTACTCTCTGCACAAAAGCTTGTCATCATCCTTAGATTTCAGACATAATTTCATTTTTCTGTCAGGACACTGGACGTTATTAAATCTTATGGGAAATTATGCAAGCTCTGCCTGAAGCTAAGCCTTTACTGTAATGTACAATTCCTGCATTTTTGACCCAAGGCCTCAGTATTGCCTTCTGCTAATATGTAAGTGAAACTAACTAACAAAACCTCCCTGTCTTCAACTGCTTGCTTTGGTCTCTGCCTTCATTATTCAGTTTTTAGGGGCATGACATGCTCTAAAGTATTTATAGTTTTCAAAGACTGTTTTGCAAGTTAAACTGCATAGCAGAAGGAGCCCCAGCTGTGCTTGGAATTGGAAAACCGTGGCAGTGCAGGACAGAGGACGGGAAACATCCCGCACCAGGTTGTGCCACGGGTTGCCACGTGGCCTGGGGATGCTCCGCTGTCCTACCTGCTGCACAGGCCTTGGAGGGGTCAGACACACAACTCACACCCTCGCAGACCCCAGCTGCATCCACATTTCTGACAGGCATTTGGGGAGGGAGGATGGTGCTCGTTAACAGCTGTTCCATGACCTAAGCAAATGTAGCCTGGGAATCTTTCAGATGATTTTGTGAGGTTTTGGAACAGGCTTGTTATACGTGTGGGTAATAAACTGAAGCTTAGATATTTTTGTGCTCCAGCTGTTCCTTCAGCTGCACTGCAGTTTTGCTCTCTAGCGTTACATGGAAAATAGCAAGAGAAGCATTCAGTTTGTATTTTCTGAATGGTCATGGCCTTGGTGCTTTGATTCTCTTTTGCTTTTTATAAGCTATAGAAATATGTGTCTCTCAATGATTATATTGAACTAGGAAGCTAACAGAAAGATAAGGAAGGTATTTTGCTTTTGCAAAGCGAGTCAAAGATTCTGCAAGCCTGCAAGCATTATAACAAATGACAGTAATGAAACGTCAGGATTTTTTAAACTTAAAACTAATCTAAATGTTTTTTGATTTTTTTCGACAGAACCCCTGCCAATAATTTGGTTTTATTGTGAAGTTCACTACTTTACTGCATTCCTATCTACAAACAAATCTTTATTCTTATCATCAGTGGCATATCAGTAGCATAACTGTAGTATCTGTAGGAATCCTTTCCTCCCATCCTCTCCTACCTGTCCAAACCTAAGGTTAGCTTATTCCTAGAGCGGGAGAGCAATGGGCTGCATTCCCCCTTTCAGCTCTGCAGCTCCAAATAAGCATTTGTTGTCTCACATGCCATTGGTGGCAGCCTGACCTTGCTTTCCTTCGGATAAATCAGCTTGCAGCCGCACAGCCAATATCCAAAGCCTTCCCAACTTTCCATGGCTCAAAAGCCTTTGTATATACTGCCAGGCTAGATTGTCAGCAGTGCTAGATTTACTGTTTTGTGCTGCTCTGTGTCATCATGACCTGACTGCTGAACAGCGGGGTTGGTTTTAATTTAATTCTCTTTTCCCTCCTGGAAGATAAAAGAAAAAAAAAAGTTATTTATAAGTGTTTTTATTTTCAAATTTTTCAAATTTATGATTTTTTTCAGATAAATATGCGATTATTGAAGTTATTCATGTACAGATTGATAGTATAGGTATTCAGATACTTGAGCAGAGGCATGTAAGTAAAAGATAACTGCATGATTAATGATAACTGAGTTAGCTAAAATTTTAGCTGTACATTTGTTTGCCTGAGGAAAATAATCCTCAGAAGATAGCGATGCCATCTGAACCGAATTTCCTATTCCAGCCTTTGCATGACTTTAAGTACATGAGAAATGTGGCTCCCTTGGTGTTTCTCTCTCTCTTTTTTTTTTTTCTTTCTTCTTGTTTTTTGCCTACACTCTGGCATTTTCTTTCCTGGATCAGACCTGCTGTACTCTGCTCAAGATGTAAAGAATATAAAGAATATTAAAGAGTAGTGAACTTTCATTTAGTTCTAGCTCATCATTTAAAATTGGCAGCAGTTTCTTGCTGGTGAGAGTCGTGCTCATTATAAAAAAAATAACACTGTAAGTCTTTTAGCCATAGATCATTTTTTTCTGGGAAAGAAAACTAAATTACACTTTCACCTTTACAGGTACAATGGCTCCACCAATTTAGCATTCAAGCATATCAGTGAGGAAGTTCTCACAATGGCATTTAAGTAGTCTCACTCTATTGCATTT